TTGGTGATTCTTCACATAAAATAAAAAATTTATATCTTTATGTTTGAAGCCTGAAATATGGCAAAAGGTTGAAAAGTTCAAGGGGGCCGAATACTTTCGCAAGGCACTGTATATATCCTCATTCTCTGTATGTAACAATATGTAAACAATGGATTTCTACATTTACCTGTCAAGATCTAAATTTCACACACGATTCACAGATTTGATTATGTATAAAAGACAACGTATTACAAACACAACTGATAAGTTTATTGTACAGGCACAGATACAGATACAGATATACTTGTTTATTTGACTTAATTAATTCAACTTTTAATTAATTAATTTTACTTAATTAAAATTATTAATTTATATGAACATGAATTTAGATGAATTATTGAATGGCATTAGCCTTACTCAATAACATACCATTGATTGTGCTTTTCTAATATATGTATCACATAACAGAGTTTCTAAAACTTGTTTATGGAAAGTTCCCAATTCCCGAACAATATATTTCCTCTCATTATACAACTAAGTCTTATAACATACATCAGTATCCTGTGGCAGTTAAACTATTGTTGTCATATACAGATGCAGCCATTTAAAACGAGCTGTGGTACAAAGCGGTGGGCGTATTGCATCATAAAGCGTTGTAACACGTAAATTGCATCATACCGCATAATACCACAGCTATGATAATAGTATCCAGAATCACTGCCAGGTGGAGCTATTAAGCTTAACCTCTCATGTACAGCATTTGAGATGTCACCAGAAAACACCTGGTTTCAAATCCTGATCACTGCTGAGGGACATTCTTTATTCAATTAAGAATTTAAGTTGTATACTCTTTAGACTTTTAATTTTACACTGTGTATTACAGCATGTTAATCATTAAACATTAAAAAGTTGGTATATTTTATAAAAGCAAGATTGCTCAGTTGGACAAAAGTACACAACCTTCCACCTTCACCATAAATGTTTTAATTATGCATAAATATTTTATGTACCAAAGTCTTTAACTGAGTAATTTACATGGGTTCTGGCTTTAATGTACTCTCGGGTTCACATGGGTATGCACCCTCACCACTGCTGCCTCAGGTTGGCCCCCCAACGCTGGGAACTCAAACTCTGGTCTCCAGCTTCACTCAACAGGGTGCCAGCGAGCTGAGCTAAAGGGAGATCTCCCCTCAGCCTGGAGGCTGAGGACTCTGTTATCCACAGGGAAGGGGGGTGACGTCACCGCGCTGGTAAGCCGGCTCGCACAACCTGCAATGCTGGCCGTATGCAT